CCCCAAAACCCCAAAACCCCAAAACCCCATAAAGAAAATTAGAAGTTCAATTCGAAATGATCGAAGATAAAATAAATATAGTACATTTGTTTAGTTAGTTTCATATAATTTAAGAAAAATGGCTTTCACAGATAGATATGATCACAATATGTATATGAAGAGTATTCTCTAGGCTTACCACTCGAAGCCAACGAAAATATAAGCATTTGTTAATCACTCACACAAATCTTTTAATAAAAAGCCGATCGGAGTAATTAGAAGCTCAGAGCGATACATTTCGAAGATAGAGAAGATCCACAAGACCAAAGGTCCAGATGGGAATTTAGAATAATGCCAATAAGTTACTTCTAATACAAAGGATACTCCTAATTCATCAGTTGAAAAAAAGAGCAGAAACTTTTCATTTCGAGATGCAAAAACTATGAAAGCAATGAATGATGATTTCTATGATGACAGATCTGTTAGTAAGTCTCCAGACAAGAGAATACTAAACAAGTCGTAATCTCCAAAGAAGTATGATCTTTAGCATTACTAATCATAGCAATAATTAGATTAGCCTGCTGAACACAAACTTCTTCAATTGAGATAGATTTAGAGCTCAATTGTAATTCCTAGACTTAACTTTCAGAAAACCAAACTTCAAAGTATAATTCAAAATCCTTTAAAGCAAAAGCATTCCAATACACTACAAAATATCTCCTCAACTTATCCCAACAATAATCTGAATCAAACTAATACAATAGTTTTAAATGAGAAAATAGCCATTTTTAATCAAGATTGCATTAATTCAATTCAGGAAGTGGTGAGTGTTAACTAGCCTTAGTCTCAGGGAACATCCTAGCACAATTCTAATGTTATGAACACTAATGTGCCGAATTCCCCAAGACTGAACTATAATAATACTAGTGGCATTGCAGAGATGAGGAAGGAAAGTGCAACTGCCTTGACAAATAGCGGGAATCAAAACAACTCATCTAAATTTGTAATTAAAAAGAAATCCACAACTACTTCAAGTATTCTAACCTCAGGCTAAGCTTTGTCTAGACAGAAAATAAAGCCAAAGTAGTTATTTTAGCAAAATGAAAAGGTACAATAGGAGATTATTAACCGATTTAAGCTATTTAAAGGAGTGAATACCATCAAAGGTATGCTCTTACTAGATAAGAAATCCATAAAGCAGTATTTTAATAAGGCTATGAATCAATAGCTGCTTTAGTAGTAGTAATAAAGTTCAAGCAACGGTATATTTACAAACTGCAACTAGATTGGGTTTTATAAGAATTGCCAGGGAGTTCAAGAACTAGTCAGTGCTTTTCTTGAACATATGTTCAAAGATAGATAAAGGATTGACCTAGATCAATTTAAGTAATACTTTTTCGATGAAATGGCAAATGAAAATCAGCAAACTTAGCTTGAAACAGCATTTGCATATTATGAGAATTTAGCTGCTAAACGATAGAGTTTTGCTGGAGGAGGCTAAGAAAGCAATACTGTGAAGTCGCCTTCTAACTAAACTAATGCTAATAAGCAAAAGCTTCTAAGACAGCAAAACTCCCCAATAATAAGTGATAAGAATCTATAGCTCTAGATATAATATTATAACCAGCAATCAGGGAGATCATTGTCAGATGTAGATTTATATAAAATGATTGAGTTGCCATGCTTCAGCTTGCTGTATGAGGATGTTAGCGCTATTGTTAGGACTATAAGCAATATCAATAAAAATCACTTAAATCCAACAAAAACAATGAATAATCAAGACATACTCAACAGAGAATAGATACTTATGACTAAGTATAGTACTTCTAACTCTTCTCCAAGTAAAATGAAATCGAATGATATTCTTAAACAAAAGGCTAAATTACAGCTCTAGTAACAGTAAGAAAATAATAAAAACTCATCCATGGCTAGAATAGCATAGAAGACTGATAGTAATAGACCACAAACAACTTAAGGTGCTTAAAGTCAAAGGACTGAAGAGGAGTAGAAAGAGCAACTCATAGCTAGAAGATACAATAAAAACTGGATTATAACAAATGATGATAAGAAGCATCTATCCTATAGTCTACTAAAAATGAAGGAAGGTAGATGCCAAAGTTAGAATTCTCTTCATAGAATCTAAACTCCTGCTTAGTCAGCAAGGACAATTAATAAAGAAGATGATGATGATAAGCAACTCCTATTGCCATTATAAAGTCCATTGGAAAATCTTAGAAACACAATTGCATCATCATAGACTTCTAGATCTCACTTCAAATTTTAATCAGTTCTGTTCTCATAATGTGGTAAAAGGCAGTATTAAAAATTTGATTCTAATGATTTTGAGATCGGTCCTGATGATTAAATTGGATTTCTGACTAATAGACCAAAGACTTCTTATATCAGTAAACCAGAAAAAAATGATCAAGAGCATAATCACGAAAATACTAACAAGTTTTGCGCTTGCGATTGGGAAATTAGGAAAGCTGATAAAATTTAGAAAATCCAAGGTCAACCAGGTTTTTCTTTATCAAGACCTAAGAGTATGACAACGTTCTAGAGATTCAAAAATAGCGCAAGTAATCAGGAATCTAAAAAGCATAATATGATTCAAAATAACCCCATCAATTCGTATAAATCATAAGCCTCCTTCAAAAACTAATACTAAAATTGGCAGATGCCTGAAAGAGAATCAAAAATAGGCATTAATGACTTTGTAAAGAAAACAAAATTCAATTATAACCAAGGAGTTCCTGATATATTGCTCCTTGCTATACATTTGCTATTTGGAGATCCAGTACTATAGCTCTATCTTCAGATCAATCTAGGAATGGAATAGAGCCAATTTATAATTGAGAAATGGCCAATGTTTCAAAGGAAAATTTATGATAAGTAAACATTAATTCTTTAGGACTTAGCACTTTAAAGAGAGGAAAAGACCGAAATACTAGTAATTAGGCGTGATTTTACAAAGATACCTACGACTAAGATATTCAGAATAGGTATTTTGAATTTCTTAAAGGATTTCCATGATTAACCCTTTGGAACTGTTAGCTATTTCTATATTCCAGATAGACTTGGAAATAGACATCCTTAAGAGCTGGATCCAGTATTCATCAATCAGGTCTAGCTACTCTATACTCAGTTGTGCGATCCTAAGTTAAATAATGGCACAGGAATCACACTTCCCTATTTTGTATAATAATCTGTAAGAATTATTCAAGTTTAATTGATATTAGGCATTACTATTTGGAAAGCACAGTCCATATCTAGCAGAGAGATTATACAGATATTTGGAGTATCAGTAGAAAGTATTCTACATTAGATACAAAAAGAACTTTAACAACCTAAACAATTTTCAGCAAAATGCATCTACCCATCTAGATTATTAAGTGTTCCTTGATTTCTGTTATGACTGCTCAAGAAAAGTAAAATATTATTGATTTTATAGCTTTTAGAATAAATCGCCATTTGATCCTTTGGACATTGAATTTTGGATATTTTCATCATACTCTCCAGCTTATATAATTTGCCATGATATCCTTAAAATTAAGCAATCAGAGACTTGGAGCATTTCTAGAGATTTTGAGAAAGAAGTAAATGCTTTGCTTGAGTATATTCTGGCAAGAGGGAAACTAAATTAATCTGAATTTGGTTCGCAAGCATAGGGAAGAGTTTTCAATATTGAAACAGTCATGAAAATCCCCATCTAGACATATAAAGAAATATTAGGCTATACCTTTGGAGAAAACCCCAGGTCGCCGCTTCTTGCTCAGATTTACTCTTAGATAGAAAAAGTTAACGAAAGCATTGTCAAGTATGATGATATAGGGGGTGGTTCTAGCATGAACAATAATCATCATGGGGGTAATAACTTCGCCAACCACTAAGGCAATTATTGAAAAATTAATAAAGCTTTCTGAATAAAAGCTTATCTGACATTTAAGTATTTGAAAATTAATAGTATCACAATGAGCCTTAATAATATACTTTAATTTCATAACTCAAATAACATAGCTTCGTAGAAGTCCTTATATGTAAGTTTTCCGTCTCTATCGCTATCAATCTCTTAAAACAATTCAATAGCCACATCTCTATCTGCTAACTTCGGCATAAATCTATCAAACTACTCAAAGTAGCCCTTAATGGTAATAAATCCCTTTTCTTTCCCCCCAATCATAATCCAGGCTTCTTCAATAGGATCAATATTTTATTATCTCTTTTTCTCAGTCAATTGCTGCAAATATAAACTCATAATTTAATAGAACTGCTGGTAGTTTATTTAGAATTGTTAATCATCTTATAGATTAATAAATTGCTTCACAAGAATCATATCATCTCTGGTTGGCTTATATCCAGTTAAGTATATAAAAGCACACTTGAACTCCAATTTAAATAGGAATTGCCTCCCTTATTAATCATATTTATTGAATGAATTCTATATCTAAGACTATATGTTATTATCAGGATTTGAATGTAATTGCCTTTGACTTTATTAATGAAATGGCTATTAGTATGAATGAGAATGTTGTAGTTTATCCATGTTTTGAATTCAAATTATTATAAGTTTAATAATTTAAATTATCAAAAAGATTAACTCTCCAAACTTAAAGTATGGCAGACTTTGATGAGTTGAAGATGGAGGTAATTCGATTATCATTTAGATCTTTATGATTCTTACACTTTATATAAATAGTTCTTGATGAAGCTCCAGTGCTAAGACTATGTTGCTGCAGAGGCTATTCAAAAGGAATTGCTGAAGCAATAACCAGGAAACAAGCTAATCAGGGAATTTAGTAAATTATTGCCAGATGAGGTTCAAGCTTAAAAGGAAGCATAATCTCAGGATTAATATGGAGAGGAATACTATGATGAAGAGGAAGACAAAGAGGACGAGAAAGAAGACGAGGAAGATAAAGATGATGAGAAAGATGAAGAAGAGGGAGAAGTTAAAGAGTAAAAACCAGCAGAGGGAGAAGAGGAGATAAAGCAAGGCGAGAAAAAAGAAGGAGAAGAAGAAGACGAATATGACGAGGATGCTTATGGAGAAGAAGACTATGATGCTGAGGGTAAGTATATCTGGGGTAAAGAAGGCACCGAATGGGATTACTATTACAAGGAGGATAAGGAAGCTCACGAAAGAGGAGATCCAGTCCATCCATCTGTCATTAACACTGCTCCGATTAGAAGCTAAAAAGATGAAGACTTAATGAGCTTAGCTTCTACTACAACTACTAGTTCAACAGGAGTATATAAAACTAAGAAGAAGTGGAGGCCAACACAATGAATGTCAAAAGATAGTGACAATCTAGCAATTATGCTTAATAAAGAGTAGATATTTCTATTAATGTTCCTGATTAAACATTAGCAAATCAATTGCGTCTGGGGTTTTGGGGTTTTGGGGTTTTGGGG